GGGGGGGGAGGGAGGGGGGAGGGTGGGGGGGGAACTGGGAGGAGGGGAGTTATGGGGGGGAAAAATAAAAAAGAGGAACAAATGTAATCTGAACAATAAAGATTTAATATATATAAAAAAAAAAAAAAGTCCCCGAGGGTCCTCAGCAGAACTGTTGTTTGTAGAGACGCTTCGTAGAAAAGCATCTTGTGATCGTCAGGTTTGGGAAACCTGGCCCATTGCCTCTGCCTTTGAAAGACTGACCCTGCGCCTGGACCACCACAGGCCCCAGAACCCCACACGGACGACACCTGCGTAACTGGAAGCCTAGTATTTCAGAAACGTGCTTGACTGGGGAATTCTTTGTCCCTTAGAACACCCTCGAAAGCACCGGCAAAAGTCTCCTTGTGAAACGCTGTCTCAGGGTGAGCATGTCAGTGGGGTCCAGCAGGACACAGACAGACAGAGGGCCAGAAAGGACAGAAATGAAGATGGTTTGAGGCGGGAACGTGGAGAGAGTGCGAATGGAAATATCCATAACGCTGACCATAGTGCTTCTTCCATACTAGTCCTAATTAAAACAAACAAAAAACCCTGCTCGACTGCAGTGTACACAGGGAGCAGGAGCTCTGATGACTAAGACAGACCCGTGTGTGGTGAGACTGCACAATGGGGTCAAGGAGCACAGAGGGCTGGAAGGAGCAGACCGGCTGGAGGAAGAGGGCAGAAGGTACCCTTCGCTTGGACTTCAGAGCTAAACTGTCTACAGTGTCCTAGATTCTAATTTCTTTTTAAAAATTTATAAAGCAGCGGAAGAAAAAGAGGCCAGAACAGAAGATGCAACCTCCATGCAACATTGCAACAGACATTATCCTTTTTTCTTAATTCAAAGGGAGATTTGATTTCTCTGTTGAGGCTCCCAAGGAATAATAAGAGGGAAAAGTTCTAGCAAAGAAGTGTGGACACTCCTGTGCCTTATCTGTAAACACAGCCATAAGAAACGTCTGCGTGAAAAATACTTTCCTCTTCGCTTCAAATTCTCTCGAGTTTCCATAATCTTTATAAAGAATCTCATGGTGGTCGGGGTTGTTCTGGGGAAAATTCTCCATCACAGTAGTCCCTATCCCACCCACGACACTTCATCATAACCTAAATTCAGCTCAGGAGTGCTGTGGGGATATTACTTCTGAGAATATATTATTTGCAAAGATTGTAAAGCAGAAAATGATTTGTGTTTGCGGCCATCATTTACTTCTTTGAATTGTTTTCAATGGGCAGAGAGGGAAGTTGCTAAAAATGTTCTAAATGTGAACCATTAATTGGGGCTAAGATCACACACACAAAATGGTGAGAAGCATTAAGCAAAGCCCATTGGTCAAGGCAGTGGACTCAGAGTTTGAGGTGGGCAGGCAGGCCCCACAGGGGACTTGGGGAGGACAGGGCAGTGAGGGAAAGGCGGGACCCCTTAAGCTTCCTGTGGTTAATGAGAGCCTCGAGCAAGTCATGCCGCAATGAGCAGTTTCATGGCAGCTTCACTGAAGATCTGCAATGAGGGTCCTACATTTCCAGCAACTTCTGAATTTCCACCTCAGGTCCCAGGAGGCCTGGCTATATTTCATTCCTGGGAAGTCTCAGGTCTATACAATAAATCCAGCCATATCCCTCTTGCTTTCAGCTGGTTAGAGTAGTTCTCTTTTATTTTGTTCCCAGAAAAATGATTTCCCAGGACTGGGTATCTGGCGATCAATGGAGAATTTCAGCCCGGCCCCCGGTAACTATTATGCCTGGACACTTTTTTCCTTTAGCTCTTTCATGGAAATTGAGGATAAAGCAGAAAAAGAAACAATACAATCTGGTGCCCTCAGCCCGGCCCCCGGTAACTATTACGCCTGGACACTTTTTTCCTTTAGCTATTTCATGGAAATTGAGGATAAAGCAGAAAAAGAAACAACACTTCCTGTGGTTAATGAGAGCCTCGAGCAAGTCCTACTGCAATGAGCAGTTTCACGGCAGCTTCACTGAAGATCTACAACTTCTGAATATCCACCTCCCAGAAGGCCTGGCTATATTTCATTCCTGGGAAGTCTCGGATCTATACAATAAATCCCGCCATATCCCTCTTTCTTTTAGCTGGTTAGAGTAGTTCTTTTCTTGTTCCCAGAAAAATGATTTCCCAGGACTGGGTATCTGGCGATCAATGGAGAATTTCAGCCCGGCCCCCGGTAACTATTATGCCTGGACACTTTTTTCCTTTAGCTCTTTCATGGAAATTGAGGATAAAGCAGAAAAAGAAACAAAACTAAAGATTGGCTCTAAATATACAGTCATTATGAAGAATAATATAACATTTTCAGAACAATTGGGGAATTGGGGGCCTGAAGTCCCACGTTGACAATATAACTAGATCTTTTATGTTATTTCTCAGATTTTGAAAATAAAATCTAGGACGTCCGTGTACATGGTATGTATACTAAATAGAAGATAAGACATACCCAAATTGCTCCCTTTATCAGGATGTTAAAAATGATAAAGAATTACATCAATTGTGAGCCTATTCAGAGTAGTAACAGCATGGCGATTTTAACGGAACAACTTCTAGAAATTAAAAAAGTGGTCTTTGCTAAATGTTCTATCATCATAGATCATAAATGTATTTAAATATTTTGAATGATTAAGAAGGGGAAACTACTTGTTAAACAAAATGAAATTCTCTATAAATACACATTATTTCAGTTCAAACGATGCATTCTTTAAGACTGTTTTATACTTCCTAGGAGAAATACTAAAACTGGGATATGTAAGCACATGGTATGCTTGATCTAGTTGTTACCAGACAATAACCAGCCACTTGTTTCTATTTCAATGGCTTCCACATTCACAGAAATTTAGAAACATGCTGTTTCCATAGCAGCAAATAGAGAGCAAAAATAAAAAGATCTTATTGATTTAACGAGGTTTAGAGAATTTGTTCTCCTTTTCAGCAGTGATTTTTGCTCCTTTTTTAGTCTTTTAGCAACATCTCACATTCCCTTTTCTAAATGTACTTAGTAAATCATATAAATTTTAAAAGAAACAAATATTTAATTTTTAATGTAAAAGGGATGCTAACCTATGGAGTCGAGATCAGGCACCAAGGAATCTAAGTACATGCAATGTCAGTTTAACATATGAATAAAATATAAATTGTATTACAAGATGCTTTGAGCTGATTCATTAATAATGAACAAGCACAGCATAACATTTGCTGTTACTGTGAATTTATTAAGACGCAGGCTGGGAATTGGGCTTTTATGCACAGTGGTCAAGCTACCAAATGCAAGTTTATTCATGGTTCATGTGGCAGCATGACAGTGAATAACTGAAATGAGTAGTATATTGTGTGAAGTTAACATGCTAAGAAGACAGGAATAAACCTTCTTCCTTTCTGC